GGGCATTCTACTGTCTTTCTAGCGCACTCACATGTGTGCACTAGGCTTGGGATGTGTACCTCTTCGGGTCAATGGTACACATGCCCAGGGGCAAGGCCATTTGTGTCTGAGGCTCAGTATCTGCAAGCCACGGGGAAGGTCCAGAGAGATCTGGGACCAGGCCTGCACCCAGGATCCACAGAGTGCCCCCACCCTCCCAGGTCACAGGCCATTTCATCTGTTGATGCCATTTGCTGGAAACACTCTCCCAGTGGAAACGGGTGAGGAGCAGCAAGTAGACTCCAGGAAAAACCATGCTTGATTCTGGACCTTCTTTTGCCCAGGGAAAAGGACCAAGCAGCCTGTCCTGCTGCCGTACACAGGACAATGAGTCAGGACACCACCAACATTATGGACACAGACAGACAAGACAGGTGTTCCCCATGCAGCTGGAACCTTTATTGGGACCCCTCCTCACACCAACAATCACTGGTTGCTTTCTTGGGTGTGTGTGGATGGTGGGAACCCACGTGGTTCATGCTGTCACAGTACACATGGATGCAAAGACTTGCAGTAGCTGCCTCGTAACATACATCTTCCAGTCTGGGCTGCTCCTGGGCACTGTGACAGGGCTGGGCAGAGTGAGGGCCATGGAGCTGCCTTCAAGGCCGGGCTGCTTTTCCTTCCAGCTTCCCTACATAGTGTGCTCCCATGTCATGGGGGCAATGGAGCAGTCGCTAAGGAAAGAGCTCTCCTGCCCTCTGTGGAGCAGGTGCAGGGGTGCCTAGCCTGAGCCTTGCCCTGCCACCCCCCTTTCCCTGCCTGGCTTTAGACTTCCTTCCGCAGCATCACCTTGATGTTGCTGCAGAGCTGGCCCATGGCAGCAAAGAGCGGGTTGCAGAAGGTGCGGATGCAGAGTGAGTAGATGTGGCTGATGCACTGGATCTCGATCAGGTAGCTCTTAATGCATGGCACCACTGCCCAGATGTGGCAGAAGGAGATACAGGCAAACAGGAAGCCCCAGAGCAGGGCCAATGGGACACCCAGCAGTGTGGACAGCAGCCGGTAGCACCAGTACTTGGAGACAGTGAAGGTGGTGTAGCTCACCTTCCACACGCCATCAAAGCTGTAGGTGCCCACGGGCTCTGCAATCACATCTTCAAAATCCACCTGCAGGTGCAAGAAGGGGAATGGTCACACACACAGTATTCACATACTCCTCCAGCTTCTACCTGCAAGCATCAGAATCTCTTTGGAGCTGGATAAGCCCAAGGACTGGACCCCATCCCCAGAAGGCTCTGACGCAATAGCTCTAGATGAGCCAGGCTTCTGTACTTCGTACAAGCTCCCAGGGATGGGGATGCTACCTCTGGTCACCTGCCTGGCTGCCTGGCCCAACTAGAATAGCAGGACACTATAGAGCTCAGCAACCCCCTCATTCATGGGATGAATAAGCAGGCCTCAGAGTGAGTGCCTTGTTTAAATCCAGCAGTAAATTAGAAGCCGGGCTACCATTTGGCCCTGATGTGAGAGGCTTGGTATCATGGTGGTACAACTGGGAGGTGGAGTAGAGGGGTGATTTGTCCTTGGAAGGGGACTGTGGGGCCCTGGCCCACTCCTTTCTCCCTCCTCGATGCCCATGAAGGTGAACAGCTTTGCCCTACCCCATGATGTGACTGCTTTGCCAGAGGCACCAAATAATGGGCTGATCAATCACAGGAAGGAATCCCCAAAAGGGTGAGCCAAAATAGCTCCTCTCCTCATGAGCCATGTGTCTAGTTCAGGTGCGTGGTACCTTGGTTTATAAACTTACTTTGTTTTAGAATTTGGGAAAAGATGGCTGCTTTTGTATTTGTCTCCTGATGCATAGTTCGTGAACAAAAGCAAAATTTTGCTGAATACTTTGTGAACTGAATTGTTTGTGAATTGAAGTAGTACTGGATTTTCTATAGCTCCCAGATTCTACTGTCATGACCCTAGAAGAGTTGGACAATCATCCTTATCCCATGAAGATCAATTGAGCAGGTATGATGGGGGTGAGCCCAGCAGGCAGCTGTACTGTGGAGATTCAGGGATCACAGGGGTCGTGTGCCTCACAAAGTAACTTCAACTCAGTTGGAGGATGTTAAAGGCTCTTCCTAGAGGAGACACACCTACCAGAAGCTGATGCCTGCATGTGACCAGGTAGAAAAGCCCATGGATAGAAATCACTGGGAACTCATAAAAGGTACAGTGTGGTCCCCACAAGGTTGGGCACAAGCCCAGAGATTCCAGTGCAAGGTTGGAGGTGGGGGGCTGGAAACCTCAGTGCATGAGATCTTGGGAGGCTGCTATCAGGGAGTGCTGTGGAAGGATTTGGCTGGGTTAGGAGGAGCAGTGGTAAAGCCGGGAGTGAGTATGAGGGTAGGGACCAGGACTTGTCATCACATCCTGCTGAAGACATGACTGAGGCTCCATGTAAGAAGTGGAAAAGATAATCATTGGACTTAAATAAAAATATTTATTCATCTACCTATCTATATATTCATCTACCCATTTAAATAATCATCTATCCACCTTTCTATCCATTCTCTTTTCTATTCCCCATCCATCCACCTACCCAATGTATCTCCAACCATCTGTATTTCTACCTACCCATTAATCTATCCTATCTATCCACTTGGCCATCCATCCTACTTTCTACTTACCCATTTAACCATCCATCCAACCACCCATCCATCCAAACAACCGAACATTTACCGAGAACCTCCTGGGTTTTAGGCTACCAGCTCTTGGGGAGAGCTTAGTACAACACCTTGCATGTGTAGGTGCTTATTGATAGTTATTTGTTCAAATGTTCTAAAGTTCCTATGAAAGTATAGCTCAGAGATCCTATTGACATTTCAGATCATAAATAGAACAATTTTTCAGCCTACCTAGTCGTAAATATTCATCTGTCTTGGCCTGAGCTAATGAGATGGATGGAATACTCCTTTCTCTCATTTTCTGCTTGCAGTAATAAATCCATCCCAAGGTGTCTATCTGTTGTTGTTTTCATGGACAATTTCTTCACAGAAGCTGTTCGTGGTGGAAATTGAACTAATTCCAAGGATTTCCTTTGGGTTCTGAACACTGAGTAACTGCACTGATCTTTCTGAATCAGAAAACATGCTTTCTGGGGTCCATGCACATCTGGGAGAAGGCAGGTAACTGCTACTCTTGTTTGGGTTTGAATATCAGGGAAAGTCTATCCATGACCATAAGTCCTAGCTCAGGCAAGTCTAGGCAGCCATACCAGTGCATCAGAAGTGGACAGTGACTTCATTCCTTAATTTCTTTCCAAAAGCCGAGGTAATGGTGTTTTTCTTGGAGGGTGGGGAGCTGGGGGGCTTCATCCATCAGACTAGCTCTGGCTTTGTGTATAGGTGAAGAGGGGCCAGAGGGCAGGAAGGGGAAGCCATGACTATTCATTCAGTTGTTGTCTCCTTCTGACTGATCTATTTTTGGAACATCAAGAAAGACAAATGGTGAATGGGAACCTGTCAGCACAGCCCCCGCAAGCCTCTCACAGGGCATGGAGTGGGTGAGGGCAGCAGGCACTCCCGTCAAAAACACTTCCCCAGCAGAGTCCTGGGTGACTCAGGCCTTGGGCATCTAGGACCCTGATCAGCTCAGATAGGGCTCCCATATGGGGGGAAGCAGCTCCATTTTTGTCTCTGCTTGGTCACGGGGAGTTGCTGTGCAGGTGAAAACTTGACACTGTTTCTTCCCTTTCTGGGCCCCTGGCTTTTCGCTTGTTGGCTGATTTGGTTTGTTTTGGGCTGTGTTTTCTGTATGTTTAGGGATTTCATTGTTGGGGTGATTGCTCCATTCTATGCAGAGGGATTGCCATAAGATCCACAGGGACGCTGTTAACTTTAGAGTCAGAAGACTCCAGCAAGCAGCTACAATCTGCTGGGTCCCAGTCTCTTTACCCACGAACTGGCTACTTACAAGGTTGTCTCCAGTGAGTGTCTCCTTCATCCTTTACCTGAACAGGTAAGTACAGAATTCAGAGCACAGCCTTTCATGTCTGGAATTTGATACAGCAATTTCATTTCCAATAATAGTAAAAATTGAGGCTTGTGTTAGCCTGTTTTCAATCACATTTTCTCTAGTAATTGTGTGTGTGTGTGTGTGTGTGTGTGTGTGTGTGTGTGTGTGGTACTGGGGATTGAACTCAGTACCCCGCGCTTGCCAGTTAAGCACTTATTCTAGTGAGCTATCTCCCTGGCCCTAGTATTTAATTTTTATTATATCTTACAGAAGTACTGTTGCACAGTGGCTTAAAATAATAATAATAATAAAACCAGCTCTTTATCCAGGTAGCTTGAGAACCACTGACCCTATGAATTAGAAACTGAGCTAAGGCAGTACATACAGAAATGGGTTTAAAATGACAAAGCTTTGCTTCTTTTGTTATTGTTAGGCACAGTAATAGCAATAATAAAATTCTATAAAAGCTGAGGCAACCAGGATAACATTCCAAAGTGCTAGCCCTCCTAAGGGTCAGTTCTGGCCATGTATCTGGTATATTAACTGCCCCAAGGGCCAAGGAGAGTGAGCTCTAAGTCAGCCTGACCTCACAGCACATGTCCGTGTCTCCCTTAGTCTCTGTGCCTGAGAGGGACGAGGTACCCAGAAGGGTACCAGGGACGCAGCAGGAGCGGAGGCCCAGAATATGGCACAGGCAGTGGCAGGCATTTTCAGGGCTGCTGGGCTACCTGGGGAACCCAGGCTGCAACGTGAGGAGAACTGCACTCACGTAAAGGAGTCGGAAGCAGCTGCAGAGCCCCACCTGCACCCGGCAAGCCTGGTCCTTGTCCTCTGGCTGGGCCCCTGCATCCTCTTGCCTTCTCTCTTGGTAGAGCTGCTGCAAGTGGGGATGCGGGATGGCAGAAATGCCTGGGTAGTGTTCTAGGATGTGCACCAGCTTTTGGTGGGTGAGACAACATCAGGGAGTCATGCCTCTCCGTGAGATGGGGTCATCTCACCCTCTCCTGAGTCTGGGCCTGCTGTAGGACTCACTACAGCCACTAGAGTGGGCCAGAGGAACTGCTGGGCCAGTTCCAGAAGGAAACCTTGAAGGTTGGCAGCTTCTGCTTTTGGGAGCCCTGAACTACCATGTTGAAGTTCATTTTTATACCTCGTTCTAGAGACCAGAGGTGTTAGGAGTCTGCTCTTACAACCTGCTCTAGAGCTCCACTGCTACCCCGCTCTGGCAAGGAGAAGCCTGAAGCAGTTGGAGCTGGGGGGAGGGGCAACCATACCCCCTTCTTACTACCATACTAGTGCCAATGCCCGGCACATCTTAGATGTTTCAGCTCAATGGAGCCTCCAGGTGCTTCCAGCCCCAGCCACTATAAGTGAGAGATCGCTCAAGCCCCATGGAGCTTCAGCAACCTGGTACAGTTGCTGGGGAAATTTGTTATACAGCAATCCATAACTGATATGGTGTGTCTTTAGGGAAAGCAGGTGAGAATCCTGGACTCCAGGAGTGACTTCTATGTGCAGAGGCAGACTTGTTTATGATACTCAAGCACAAAAGTACAGAACCATTTCTGGCTCAGTTGCTTAAGAACTTCTGGGGGGATAAGAGCCTATACTCTAATGAATGTCCCAGGAAGATGGACCATGATTTGAAAATCACCAGATCAGTTGACTCCAAGAAGTTCCCATGAAAATAATTACAACAACTCAGAATGAGAAGTGTAATCCTTTCCAGGGGTCATTGATAAGGGTAAGACATCCCCAAAAGGAAAGAAATACTCAGTGGAATGACTAGGGGTTGTGTGAGTCTCTATGATCCAGTCTCTGCCTGTTCTCCACGCTTTCTCTTCCACAAACTGCCTTTCAGATGCTCTGTCCTATTTGCGTTCCCCAGTTCCTCAGTCTGCAATCAGAGTAGTAGAGGTTTCATCTGTTGTGTGAACTCTGAGCCACTCATGGTCCCCCTCCTCCATGGCTTCCTGAAGATACACTGCGATCCACTAGTAATGTCTACTATGTATGTAAGGAAGGGCAGCAGAAATACCTGTCAGTGACATTCACCAGCTCTGCCCAATATTCTTTGCAGTGATGCAAAAAGCCTCTACACCTTTGCCTATTTCCTTTCTTCCTGGAAAACCTGTTCCTCCACTCCACATTATGCATTTTTCTCGTTTTAAAAAATGCAACTTGAGGACTGGTGAGATGGCTCAGTGGTCTAAAGCACCTACTTAGAACAAGCTAAGCCAAGCAAAGCACAGGGACCGCGGTTCAATCCCCCAGCACCATATGCCAGCCAGCCCCACCCACTGTTGGGCTGAGCTGGCCACACACACACTAAATTAATTAATTAATTTTTTAAAAAAAGGCCGGGGAGATGGCTCAGTAGGATAAGCGCTTGACAAGCAAACGCAAAGCTCTGAGTTCAATCCCTGGTTCCGAAAAAAAAAAAAAATGCAACTTGAGAGGGGCTAGGGAGATGACTGAGTAAAATAAGTGCTTGCCTGGCAAGCACAAGGGCCTGAGTTCAATCCCCAAAAAGGAAAAAAAAAAAAAAATGCAACTTGAGAGGGGCTAGGGAGATGACTGAGTAAAATAAGTGCTTGCCTGGCAAGCACAAGGGCCTGAGTTCAATCCCCAAAAAGGAAAAAAAAAAAAAAATGCAACTTGGACACCATCTTCCCATGGAGCTGGCTCTTGATTTTTCCAGACACAAGGACCTTCTTTCTCCCCTAACCTACTACAACCCTCTACTTGTCACTAGCTTAGATTTGCACCTTTCCCTGTGTGACCTCCTCCTTGGCCACCATCTTGGTCAGTTTGGATTCTTTTCAAAGGGAGGTATGAGGTCAGTTTCATCTGTCTGCACTAAGCTATCCCAAATCTGCCCAAATCCACTCTAACTGAGGTGCTGTTCCTTCCTATTATTTCTCCCTCTCACAGGTCACTGGAGAGAGGCTGGTATGCTGAGGCATGTGCAGGGGAGTGGGGTAGAGCCTCTACAACCTGGGAGTGAAGGAGGTATCCTTGGGATGCCCTGTGGCACACTGGAGAGCCTGGAGCTTGGGCTGCATTCATTTCCTGCCAAGCCTGCTGCAGCACCAGCCCAGCTCACCCTTCTCTGAGGCACCACCATGCCTGCACACAGCCAATGCTCGGTAAGAGTGCGAGGAGTCCCCCTGCTGGCCTCCATGGGAGCCAGGAAAGGACAGGGTATGCACTCCAGCTCCACACCTTCTTCTCTGCCCTGTACCCAGCCCCAGGTTGGAGACCACAGTTTAAATCCACTGGGCATGCAGGACTCTCTCCCTGCTTTGACACTCATTTACCAGCCTGAGATCAAGGGCAGAGCCAAGCAGAGCATTTTTCTCTGCAGGTTCAAGGCCATGATGAACCCAGTGTGTCTGTTTCCCATTCTTCTTCCTTGGCTTTGCGGAGTGAAGGCTTAGCAGCCAGTGATGGAGGAGACAGCATCTCCCGCTTGTCCACTTCACCTCTATCTGCCCTAGCAGCTCAGGACCAGAGGAAGGGCTTTCCTAGAGTCCACGGCAAGTGTCAGGGCTGAGACAGAGCCAGGGCCCCTGTAGCTGGGCCCCATTCTGCGTCACTCTCCTCACTCACGAGGACCCTGCTGCCACCATGAGGCCATTGCCGGCCCAGGCACTGGGTTGGCCCCATCTCTCTTACTCCTCTCTCCCCTTCAGTGCCCTGCATAGTGTCATTTCCTAGGCTTTCCTGATTTCCCAGTTTCCAGGCTGCCCTGTCCGACAGGCCCTGCCTGTGCCTCCTAGTCAGTCTTTGCGCTCCTTTCTTCCTTTATCAGACTACAACCAAAGCCTGAAATCTGGGCCTGGGGGCTGGATCTGGCTCACTTTTAATTCAGTAGGATCAGGAGACCCTCCTATCCGTACCACACACTGCAGTCTCCATACAACCACACTGAACTGAGGACTCCTCGTCTCTATCCCCAGTGGCCCATGGCTCAGTTCTATGGCCCCTACCTGCAAACTCCTGAGGCCCCTGCGCAGCTCACATTTCTCATGGCTTTGCCATGTGCTGCAAATCCCCATCATCCCATGCTTCCTGACCTACTGTGGCCCAGCGCTGCCCTGAGACCCAGCTCCCTGTGGATTTGAAATCACGTCTGCTGAAGTCGAGTCCAGGACCACTCCTGCTACACCTCACTGTGGGAACCTCACCTGTGCTGCCTCACATTTATTTATTATTTATTTATTTATTTATTTATTTTTCCACTTATGTATTTGATACAGGGTCTCACTACACAGCTTGGACACTCAGACTCATAGTGATCCTCCTGTTTTCAGCCTTCCCAGCTCTGGGATTACAGGCCTTAGCCACCACACTTAGACTCTGTTGCCAGCTCATAGGTCCCTGGGGATGGGGCCAGCTCAGCATGTGACACTATGGACCAAACCGTGGTCCCTGCACTTGCTGATGCAGGTGCTTAGTCTGCTGAGCTATCTCGCCAGCCCCTACACTACCTCACATTTAGATAGTACTCTACAGTTGAAAAGTTTCTTCCTAGTTTCTTCCTACAACTCTCTCCCTGTGCTGTGACGCATAGCCCTGTCCCTCTGTGAGTGATTTGTGCATATGTAGCATGCAGATAACATGACCTGCTGTGAGGAAATCCCTGGGAAAGGGGCACAGATGAGGACAGTGTCACATGGAGCAGTTGGAAGGCTTCCTGGAGGAGGTGGGCTTTGAGCTGAGCCTGAAGGCTTTCACCACTAGGAGGGCGGGGTGTGTTCTGGTGAGTGGAGCAAAATGGGCAGGAGAACTTGGTGGAATCCCCATCTGTCTCAGTTGGAAACCACGTGGAGGGGTTTGTCTCTTCCCTCTGGAGGTGCCCAGGAAAGACGGTAGCCTGGGGCTATGGCCATAAAAGGCCCTGAGCTGTTCTGTGGAGTCTAGGGCTGCCAGCTTGGTGTGCTTCAAATGTGCCACTGAATTCTAAATGCCATTTAACTTTAATTACAATATAAAAACAGATACTCAGTTCCATTATTGGAAAGCTTTTAATAATGCTTGGAACAATTTGGGCATGTGAATCTATTTTCAACTAAACATTTTATGACTCCTAAATACAGAACATTTATTTCTGATGAAAATCTATAGTCTGAACTAATAAGTACTGGGAGCCCAGACACTTACTAGATTTTGAAGATGAAGAGCGACAACACAATTATTCACAGATAATGTTTTTTACCAGCTATATGTAGAAACAATACTAGTTTAGATATATAAGGTTAAATTAACAATAATTTCAACTGTTCGATTTTCTTTGTTTTTTCTTCTTCTTTGTGATATGAGAGGATGAACCCAGGGACCCTCTGCCTCTAAATTACCCCACCAGCCCATTTAAAATTTTATTTGATCTTGAAACAGGCTAAGTTGCCCAGGGTGGGCTTGAATATGTGACCATCCTGCTTCAGTCACTTGGGTAGCCAGAATTATAGCATGAACCACCACATCTGGCTGGCTGTCCTTTTTTAAATGTAGCTGCTAGATTAAAATTCCAGGGCAGGTGAGTATTTGGGAAAAGCTCCACACTATGCTCAACTTTTCTATTAGTCCAAACTAAAGCTGCTCTAAAAAGCAATCTATTTACTAAAAAGGTACATTCTTGACTGGAAGTGTGGCTCAGGTAGAGTTAGAGAACTTGTTATCGTAAGTGAGGCCCTGGGTTCTGCCTCTTGTACCACAAAGAGGAAAAAAATGTAAAAACAAATCATCATATGATTATCATGTAGAAAAGGTATGGCATAAAATTATGCAGCATACAATTCTTTTTTTTTTTTTTGGTGGAACCAAGGACCCTTTGCACTTGCCAGGCAAGTGCTTATTCTAATAAGCCATCTCCCTGGCCCCTACTGAGCCATCTCCCAGACCCTACAATTCTTGATAATAACAACTATATCACTGGTGTTAATAAATAAATAAATCCACAGATCACTGTATCTCAGTTGTGCTACACAGAATTTCTGTAGGATAGTGTTGGCCTGAGGTCCCTTCCCAGCCACCAGCCCAGGCTGTACCAACTCCAGAGCCGATGCTCTTGGTGGCTAGGGAGCTGCTCTAAGCAGTTACCTTCAGAAAGACCCCTGTTTTGCTGGGCTGAGGGATGGGCCTGGGGCAGCCTGCCAGATCATATGCTGGGAAGAGAGGCCTGCTTTCAGGCGCCAGCTATAGGCTCACTCCCTAAAGCTGCAGATGTCTGAGCACTCAGACTCTGGGGCTCTGGGGCCCTGGCACCCTCTGAGAGGCCCCTGCTCTACCCTGGAAACCAGACCTGCAATGAGACATGACACAGGTGAAGCCCAGGCATGGCCTGCAGGCTGCACATGGACCCCGGGCAGCGCTCTTGGGAGCAAGTGTCTCCCCAAGGACCGCCAGCTCAGCTGGGAGCTGCCCACTGGAGATGGACCGGCCGCCCACCGGGGAGCCCCAGAAGGCCTCCTGGCACAGAAAACAGCCTGAGCTGCCGTCAGTTCCCATTCCTCTAGGCCAAGAGCCAGCCCAGAGGGCAGGCCAGAGCTGGCGCCTCCGCCCTGGGCTAGGGAGGCATTTTCTCTGTGCCTGGCCTCTCCACCCTGCCCAGTCACCACTCAGACCACATAGTGGCAGCTCAGTTTTTGTTCAAGCCTTTACTCGTTCACCTGCGGATTTGAAGAAAGTAAATGAGGTGTCACCCCCTGCTGGGTCGCAGAGCCTACCTTGACGATGTCTTCATTAATGTTCTTGGGGTCTCTGTTCACCAGGTCAATCTCCTTAAAGTGAATGTCCTTGACAATCTGGGCCTCCAGGTCCGTGTGCTCCTCAGCCATCATCGCAGAGCTGTCCCCAGAGCTCTAAGCCTTGTGGCCGGCGGGCTAAGAATCCAGCTGGGGCAGAGAGACCAGCTCAGGGCCCCCAGATTTGTGCCCTATGGCTAACAGGCCCCACCCAGCATGCCAGCAGACAGCTGTCCCACATAACTTCAGCCAGCCTCTCGGCAAAGCCATGATGGCTGACCTCCAAGCTAAAATTAAGACTGGAGTACTTCTGGAAGGCAGGGTATTCCTTAAAGGGGGCTGCTGCTGGGCCCTGATCCCACGCGTGGGCACTGGCCTGGCGCTCCCTGGCCTCCGCCAAGGACAGGCTTGCCCCCTCGCTGCCCAGGCGGCTGTCTCCCCCTCCCATGGGGCCCCTGGAATTTGCTACCACTGCCAGTGCCTGGCGCTCCTGGGAGCAGCTGCCCCAGAGGAGGTGGGCTCGCTACCACTGCCAGTGCCTGGCGCTCCTGGGAGCAGCTGCCCCAGAGGAGGTGGGCTCGCTACCACTGCCAGTGCCTGGCGCTCCTGGGAGCAGCTGCCCCAGAGGAGGTGGGCTCGCTACCACTGCCAGTGCCTGGCGCTCCTGGGAGCAGCTGCCCCAGAGGAGGTGGGCTCGCTCCAGCTCTGTTTTGTGACCAACTGCTGTGTGATCTTGGGCATACATCCCCTCTCTGGGCTATTGTCAGGGACACAATGTAGCCTGAGCACTTGTCCTCTCCTGAAGGGGAGGAAATGGGCCCTGTGCTCCTACGAAGAGCTTCCAGAACTGGAAATGTGGTCTCCTAGAGTTGTGCACAGACAGCTAGGGCCTGGGCGTGCTGTCTGGGACCCTGGAGCAACCTTGGGCTTTCCTGTTTCTAGGGATTTTCCTGGCGCAGGAGTTGATGGACTGTGGGGCGGCCTGAGCGTGAGCCACGCTGAGGAGCCAGTGCTGCCTCTTCTAACTGTATCGTCTTGAGCTCCAGCAGGGGAGGGGTGAAGGTGCGAGCATCCATTCAGCCACCCATCTACTTATCCAGGCAGGACTTGCTGGGAGCTGGAGATAAAGGGACAAATAAGGCTCTGTCCCCTTGAGAAGCTCCCAGGCTAGAGAGACAAACACTGAGAGTGC